ATCTATCTATCTATCTATCTATCTATCTATCTATCTATCTATCTATCCATCCATCCATCCATCCATCCATCCATCTATATATATACATACATAAATACATACATACATACATACATACATTCTAATAAACACACACACACACACATATGTATGTATGTATGTATGTATGTATGTATATATGGTAAAACCATGCTTCAAAACAAATTAAAAATTAAACTACCCATTAGCACAGGGGTGTTAAACTCGATTTCATTGAGGGCCACATCAGAGTTGTGTTTGATCTTGGGGGGCCAGGATGGGTGTGTCCAGCTCAATGTCATTAGTGTTGGCGGTGCCTGTGGTGGCCTAAGTACACTGCCAGAGAAAAAGGGCTCCCGATCTCCATTTTCAGCTGCAATGGCCTCCTGCAACCCTCTGCCAGGGAGGCACACAGCCCTCCCAAGCTACGTTTTTGCTGGCAGAGGCATTGTGGACCAGTCCTTCTCTGTTTCCAAGGTGGCCCCGCAAGCCAGATTTAAGCACCCCCAAGGCTGGATCCGGCTCCGGGGCCCTGCATTAACATGTTGTTTAGAAAACATATCTAGAAATCAATAGTATTATTTTTATTTTATTTTATTTAAAAGAAAAACAGAATATTAAGTCTGGGCACTGCATGAAGGCTAACTGTAACAGTAGGAGATCTAAATCCTACCTGTCCCACAGTCCAGTCATTGAACTAAATAAAAGGAATTCACAATGTTTTGACAAGCAACAGCTGGTGCTGTAAATAATTTCATTTGAGTCACCAAGTTTTGTAGTGAATTGCAATTTGCCAGGTGATTGATTATGAATAAGCTCAGTGGAATGGTTACTGGCTGTTCTTGAACTGTTTTTCTAACAACTATGGAGAAACAATTGGAAGGGCAAAGTTTTGCAGTAATGGGAAAACAGCTTTTAACTTCTTCCTATTCAAAATGCTTCATTGTAATTTCCATTTGTATGTCCTAGAACCAGGTATTTAAGAAACAAAGTAGATGCAAAATTCTTCTATTTGAACATTGCGTTATTGGATATATTCTTCAATTTCTCTCTAAAATGTTTAAACTGTTTAAATCTATTAACAAGTCCAATATCACACTTCACTATAGCGAGATGAAAACAGTTGTTATATATTTCCTATCAAGTATCTTCTTATTTTGATAAGGACATTAAAAACAGTGAAATAAGCAAGATGACAATCAGAATAAAAACAGTAATAGTGAGCAAGCTGTTTTCACACAGCCTGTGTAAGCCATGACATGATTCTTAAAGGTTTATAAGGTAAACACAACTTTGGGTTAGTCCAATATAAAAGGTAAAGATAAAGGTTTCCCTCACACATATGTGGCAGTCGTTCCCGACTCTAGGGGACGGTGCTCATCTCCGTTTCAAAGCCAAAGATTCAAGACATTTCCGTGGTCCTGACATTTGACTAAATGTCAAAGGCGCACAGAATGCTGTTACCTTCCCACCAAAGGTGGTTCCTACTTGCATTTTTACATGCTTTCGAACTGCTAGGTTGGCAGAAGCTGGGGCAAGTAATGGGAGCTCACTCCGTTACGCGGCACTAGGGATTCGAACCACCAAACTGCTGATCTTTCTGATCAACAAGCTTAATGTCTTAGCCACTGAGCCATCGTGTTCCTTATTAGTCCAATATACTAATCCCTAAATCATATTTTATATGCCAAAATGGGTGGGTTCATACAACATGGTGGGCAAAAACAAAAATCAACTCGCTGAAGTTTAAAATGACCAAGATACTGAATCACCGTGTAAACATACTATTATGTCTGCTCTGTGGCTAAGTTGTTAGTAACCTGTTCTATGCAAATCTGATTCAGTTTGGAGTTGAAAATTTAAAGCGTGCATCATTTTTAACAATACTATCCACTGCCGTAATATGAAATGTCCACTCACTTGCCCTTTTGGTGGATTCTCTGATCACTTAGTCTTCAGGATGGTGGGGGATTTGGAACAGTTGGCTGGCAAGCTTGGCTCCTCCTAGGAAAGCTTATATCAGTGGGTTAGGTGGAATACTAAGGGCACACTGGCGGTCTTTGTGAATTTTGTTTACTTGACCACTGGTTGGTCAAATTAGAAGACAAGCTTATCCTTGCTTGGGAAGACTTCCTTGTTACTGTCAGGATTTGATTATGCTAAGATTGTAATTTGGCTGGCAGTATCCTGTGTTAAGTGGCAGAAACAACAGACTCCTGTATCATTTTCTTTTACAAATGTGCATTGTATATAAATGGCTTGTAGTTTAACTATGGGTGTGGGAAAGAAGATATAAATCCATGCTTAGATGTCCCAGAGAGAGTTTTTGTTATAGTGGTAGTACATCACACACACCCCAAAAATCTTTATTGATAAAACTGAGCTATTCTGAATTTCAGAGGAGAAGTCTTAAAACCTATAGAGAGAGTAGGCTTGAGCTAAGATGCCCATGGAGCGTCTTTCGGTGGCTGGAGAATGCATTTATGAGTTTTAGGATGGTTGAGGCACAATGGATGGGGCAAATTATATAAAGTGCACACGATCCATTTCACAGATGCATAAGTGGAGGCCAGATATTTAATTTCTGTCTTGAATGTGGATTTATTTTGCTATGTCTTTTAAGCTATCTAAAGCCTATTTTAGAGCGTAAAGCACTGATGGAGAACCTTTTCAGCACCAAGTGTCCAAAATGGAGCGTATGCATGTGCATATGTGCGAGCACCGGAAACCAGTGTCGCTGGCCAGCTGCTCTTCGGGTTTCTGGGACACGCATGCGTGCCGGCAGCTAATCTTTGTGCACACCGGAAACCCGAAGACCAACTGGCCAGCATGCGCATTTACACTGGCCAGCTGGTCTTCAGGTTTGTGGCGTGCACAAAGACCAGCTGATGCACCAAAAACCAAAACACATGTGCCATAGGTTCGCCATCATGGGCTTAGACCATTTTTAAATTAAGATGGCAAGGATTGCTGCCAATTTTTGGTTCCTGTACAGAGTTTGCAGAACCATAAAAAAATTCTTGAGGGCTTCATGATATTCTCCGATTGCCCATCATTACCTTTCTATGTGAAACTCAACCTTTAGTTGCATCAATACAAATTTTACAAAGACATCTTCCATGGAGGATGACCTCATTTCCTTTAGCATTAATCACACATGACCTAGTTGGGTTACAAAGGTGGCTTACCTTTGTCACATTGAATGGGCCACCACACATCTTCACTGTGAATGTTCAGATGGGCTCACTGGCTCTGGCTGATATGCTCTCCTATAGCAAGACATGCAAAAATGCCCATGTTTCAGTTCTAATCTGAAAGCTTCAAGAAGTGCAACATATACTGTTTTCTGCTGAGCAAATAACTCAATATAAATCTTTTAGTTTATTACTGCATATGCCTTAATAAATCAGTGCAACCAAATATAAATCACCTAAAATTTGGGGAAAGTGAGGAGCTAGAAGTAGGCCAAGCAATTTGCAAGCTTCAGTCCCAATCTCATCAACTGGGACTAAGAAAGTGCTGTGTTTCATTCTAGAGAGCTCTTGCCTATCATATTAAATAAAGAAATCCTACCCAATTTTGAATAGTGGGCACCCTTGGAATCTGAAATACATGTGTGGGTGATCTCATAAAATGACCGAGGCTTGATGTTCATAATGGGGTTTCTACGAATGATACAAAGCACTGACTTAGCATCCTTGCTCTCAACTATTTCCCCTTTGACTTCTTTTGCAAAAATGCTTCTAAGTGTGGGGTAGCTGCCCCACACTTTTACTTTTTCTAGAAAATTTCTGGTGCTTTTAAAAAAGATAGTTCATCTTGTTTTCTCTCCTATCTAACACTGTTAAATACTAAGAATTAACTGCATTTCTATACAGATTGATTGAAAAAAAACAAAGCATATGTGCTTTGTTAAATAGATCTGAAAAATAGCCAAAGAAAAATGGAAAGATTTGAAGATAAAAGGAGAAGATACTCTGGTGTTCATTGATCATGGGAAAGGAAAACACAGATAGTCCTCGACTTATGACCACAATTGGGCCCAACATTTCTGTTGCTGACATTTGTTAAGTGAGTTTTGCCACATTTTATGACTTTTTTGCCATGGTTGCTAAGTGAATCAGTGCAGTTATTATTAGTAACCCGGTTGTTAAGTGAATCTGGCTTCCCTGATGGACTTTCCTTGTCAAAAGATTGCAAAACGACCCCGGGACACTAACCATCATAAATATGAACCAGTTGCCAAACATCTGAATTGAGATCATGTGATCATGGGGATGCTGCAACGGTCGTGTGAAAAACGGTCATAAGTGACTTTTTTTCAGTGCCATTGTAACTTCGAACAGTCACTAAATGAGCTGTTGTAAGTCGAGGACTAACTGTGGCAGAAGTAGAAAAGTTAATTCAATGGTATGAGGCTTACATATTTAATCATGTGAAAGGAAATATTTTTAGTTAACTCTTAAAATTAGTGGCAAGCTTAACATCTGTTATAACAGCTGTTAATCCTACAATTTATAACACCCTACAGGCCTATCAAACTAGGATAGCTATTATGGCCTTCTATTACACCGGCCACCTTTAAAATATATTTTCAAAAAAGGCTAGGCAACCATACCACTTCTATTGATAAATTATATAATTAGACTCTTAGTTTAAATTCATCTAATGAGTGACACTGATATTGGGAAATTGTTTTATGTTTTTATTGCTTTATAAGTCTTTTGGAACCTAACAAAAGGGACTAGAAAACACTGGACAAGTTGAAACCATACCTGCTTTCAAAGATATCAGAAATAAAGATGGAACTTTCACTGAATAAAATTACATATCAATCATATGAATAACCCAACTGTCTGCTGATGAAGCAATAAAGAGCTCACATATCAGGGTTATCATATTGGTGTTGCACTAGATGACAGCCAAGAGTAAATAGTTTTTCCAATTATTGCAGCCAAGCAGTAATATAATTTAGCATTATTTTAAAGTCACTGAAATACTGTATTTTTTGGAGTATAAGACGCACCTTTTTCCCTCAAAAAAAGAGGCTGAAAATCTGGATGCGTCTTATACACTGAATACAGCATATTTGGCCTCCTGAAACCCCGCCCCTTCACCAAAATGGCCATGCAACGCCTTTAAGAGGCTTCCAGGGTGCTCCTGGGGGCAGGGGAAGGCAAAAATGAGTGAAAAAGAGGCCGTTTTTGCCCCCCAGCCCCAGGAGCACTCTATAAGCCTCCTAAAAGCTATGCATGCCCCTTTTTTTGACAAAAAGGACCATTTTTGCAAAAAACGGGCCATTTTTGGGAGGTTTGCAGAATGCAAAAGCTTTTTTTTTTAATTTGCCTCTTCAAAATCTTGGTGCATCTTATACTCCGAAAAATACGGTATCTCTTATTAGTATGTCTGATAATAATGTTTATTTATAGTAACTACAATCAGAGGGATAATGGGAAACTACTTAATACTTAAATCCAGTGAGCTCTGGACTGTCCACATTGAATAGTAGCAACTTTTCAGGATTTCAGGAAGATGTTTTCAACTCTACATAGAAATGCCAGGAATTGAACCCAGTAATTTCTGTAATCAAAACATAGGCATTCATTATGGAGTTAGATTTTTTTTTCTGTCTATGGAAATTTTATTCCCTATAAAGCCTGAAATCTGTTGTACTGGAATTTTTAATTCTCTTGCATACCACATTATGATAGAAGGTAAGATTTTATTTCTGTTTCATTATATTCAGAAATAACCAATTACATATATTTGGAAGTTATCTTACTAGGCTAGGTAATGGCAGGAAACTATTATTTATTACAATGCCTATATTGATAGGACAGAATCTAAATTGCTATGCAACTAATTCTTTTCAAATTCTATCATGTTGAAATTGCAATTTTTAATTAGAAGTCACTTTTGTAGTGAAGAATGGATGTATTTAATTATTATGCAGCTTTTAATGTTTTAATGTACTAATACCGGTAGTAGAAAAGACATAGCCATCAAAATGAATGTTTGTTAAACAGCAAATGACATTTTTCATATATTCAAGCAAGGAAGCACACAATGTCATTATATGCAAAAATATTTTTAATATGCTAGAAATAATCTTATATAGCTTCCCAAAATCATTTTTTGTAACATTCAGAATTAAACTGGTTAAAACATTTACCTATGATTAATTTCAACTTAAACTGACACAGAATGCTGGTGAAGTAATGAAGAATTGGTTCTCTTAACTAATTCATCCTACATATTTAAAAGTCATTAGGACAGCAGTATAAATCAAAACTCTATCTATATTTCCTATTCATCACACATGAAACACCAGTTACAGTCAGTGGCATTAATTGATTTTTGCACATTGTAAAATAATATTATGTCTGTCTCAAATAATGTTTTGTAATTTTTCAAAAAAAGACATAAAACATCAAAGCAAAAGGAATAATAGATGAGATACTGTAGTAAGTAGTTGCTGAAATCACGATACACTTGAAATGAGGATTAAGATTTTAAGCAAAATCTGATTTATAAACATTTTTCATTTTGGCCCTGCCTTCAGTCATGCACCAAGTTGGAATGCGACCTGATATTTAATTCTCTATTTCCTATTGTAATATATAAGACACAGTAAAAGGATGGTGTTGTGATTTATTTTATTTCATTAGTTATAAGGTTTTTTGACAGTGTATTACTCTGCCTTTTTTACACAGTATATTCAGTAATATTGCCTTCCAAATAAATGTACTTAGCTTTGCAGCCTGAAAATGCTACTGCTACTACACCTTGATTTTAAATTAAAATGAATAGATTTCCAATTAGGCTGGCTAGAGTAAAACAAGATTGCAATTGACCCTGTTTATTGGCAAAAATGTGACAGCATTTCTTTGTACTGGTAGTCCTTGACTTATAACCATTTGTGTAGTGACTATTCAAAGTTACAATGGTACTGGAAAAAATGACTTAGAACCAGTCCTTGCACTTATGAACACTGCAGCATTCCCACAACCACATGATCAAAATTCAGGTGTTTGGCAACTAGCATATATTTCTGATTGCTGCAATGTCCTGGGGTCATGCAATTGCTATTTGTGGCCTTCCCATTCAGCTTCCAACAAGCAAAATCAGGTACTCCCCAGGTGTTAATTGCATTAATGATGTTTCCAACATTTAGTTTTCCTTTCAAAACATTCTGAAACCGCTCCATAAATTTAATAAAAGTATTCCAATGCCTTTATTGAATTCTTTTGTGCTTTTTAAGAAGGAATCTAGTTCAGATTTTGTTTTTCAAATAATTTTAAACCATTCATGTAAATACAAATTTATACTCCTTTTTTGGCCACATCCACAGTTTAATTGGTTCAAAGCTATTATCAGTTGCCATTGGTAATATAAAGAGTAAAGGTGATAATGAGCTGCCTAGGAACATTCGACATTTGATTTTGACTTCTTCCATCAACTTTTTTCACCAAAACTTCATTGATGTACTCATAAATTTCTGAATATTTTTGAATATTTCCAAATATTCAAAACATTTCTCAATCCAGAAATGGAAACAGAATCAAATGCCTTCTTAAGATTGATCCTTGCCATAAAATGGTTGTTCTTTTTTTAAAACCAATTTGTCAATTAATAACTAGTCTTCCTTTCCTCTCAAATTTTTGCAGCACCCTTTTTGTTCTACAGGGAGTAAATCATTTATTTTCAAATAGTTGTAGATTTTATTTGTAATTATGCCCATGAGTAGTTGTATGTTGTTGGCAAACAGGTTATAGGTATGTAGTTTCCAGAGTCATTTCTCTTCTTGTCCTTTGAATTAGGAATGTTCTTCCAATTGTTAGACATTTTTCATTTCTGGTGCTTCCAAAACCTTATTTATCTGGTCTGCCAACCTCTAGTGTAAATTTGTCAATGACTTCAACCTGAATCCATGGAGCTCATCTGGTTCAGGAGCAATCCAGTTTTTGATCTAATCTGATTGCTTTCATACTATTTCCTCCACTACCCTAAGGTCTTCCATATAGCAATAGAATACAGACTTATATACCGCTCCATAGTTCTTTACAGCATTCTCTAAGTAGTTTACAAATGTCAGCATATTGCCCCCAACAATCTGGATCTTTATTTTACTGACCTCAAAAGAGGGAAGGTTGAGTCTATCTTGAGCTGGTCAGGATTGAATTCTTGGCTGTAGGCAGAGTTAGTCTGCTATACTGCATTCTAACCACTGTGCCTCCATACCTCATTTGAGTACTTTCACTGCATTTTC